TTTAAAAAAAAGAAAAAAGTAAGAAACTAACTTCTGGCAGTGGTATGGTTGAGAAGAGTGTGGGCAACAATTGAACAGGGTTCCCAGGAGAGCAGGAAGTGAACGTAATGTGTCAGGCTTACATAAAATGCAAGTGAGAAAATCCACAACTGCTAAAACCATAATTAATCTCAGCAATGACAGGTCTTCCAGTTGGCAATGGTGACTGATGGTTAACAGTTAGCCAGGGGAATTAGGAATCAAAGAAAAAAGGTTAAGCCAGTGGAATGAATCATATCCAGAATGACAAGACAGTTAAACTAATCATTAGAGCTTTCTATGTGCAATCGCTATTAACGATCTGGGCAATCTAGAATCTTCTGTTACCTGCAAATAGCCTGACTCTGCAGAGAGCTTCTGTGTATTGCTGTCCATGACAAACAGATGCAACTACCATAGTAAGACTCTGAGCTGTCAAAGTCAGTGACACAGGAGGAGGTTTCAATAAATAAGGATAAAACAAGCATTAGAATTTTTAAATTTCCTCATTAAAAAATAACATAGGCTCTACACAGTTTGGCTCAATGGACTGAGCACTGGCCTGTGGAATGAAGGGTCCTGAGTTTGATTCCAGTGAAGGGCATGTTCCTTGGTTGCAGGTTCCCCGGTCCTGGTGCATGCTGGTGGCAAACCATCGATGTTTCTCTCTCACATCGATGTTTCTCTCTGTCCCTCTCCCTTCCACTCACTCTAAAAATAGGTGAAAAAATATCCTTCAGTGAGGATTAACAACAAAAAAATAAAATAATAAAATAAAAAAGATACAGTATTCCCCCTTATCGGCAATCTTACTTCCCAGTTATCTGCAGTTAACTGTGGTCCAAAAATACTAAGTGGAAAACTCCAGAAATAAGAATGTATAAGCTTTAAATTGCATACATTCTGAGTAGTGTGATGAAACCTTGTACATCCCACTCCATCCTGTGTGGGACATGAATCATCTATCTGTCCAGTGTATCCATGCCACATAGGCTACCTACCCATTCGCCACTTAGTACCATCTTGTCCATCACATCAACTATGGTGATGCCATACATGGTGTTTGTGCTCACGTAACCCTTATTTTACTTAACAATGGCCCCAAAGCACAAGAGTAATGATGCTGGCAATTCAGATATGCCAAAGAGAAGCTATCAAGTGCTTCCTTTAAGTGAAAAGGAGCAAACATAGTATGTATAGAACATTATATGTAGTATATACACATTTATAGTACTATTTGCAGGTTCAGATGCTCACTAGGGTCTTGGAACGTATTCCCCATGGATAATGGAGAACCACTGTAAATTTTAATTACAAAAGTAATTCATATTGTTTAAAAATGAGAAGGAAAAGGGCACACAAAAATTAGCCTAACTTATAAGTTCAGCACCCAAATAGAAGTGCAGGTAACATTTGGAAAACGGCTTTTCAGATTTAAAAAAAAATTACATATATATATTTGACATATAACAATGTAAATCTAAGGAGTACAACCTATTGATTTGATAGATTTATAAATTGTAATACGAAGGCCATTGACGTGACACCACCTCTATCACATCACATAATTAGCATTTCATTTTTGTGGTGGGAATAATTAAGATCTAGTCTCTTCACAAGTTTGATGGTTATAATACAACATTGTTGTCTACATTCACTATCCTGTACATTAGACTTTTTTATTTAACATGCAAGTTCTAAATCAAATTCCGATGAAGAGTTTGCTAAGGTAGCATTTTTTATAAATTTTAATTACAAGTTATAATTAAACTGCAACTTCTCTTTCAAGATATCCAGGGCATGCTCTAACGGTTTTGGCTCAATGGATAGAGCATCAGCCTGCGAACTGAAGGGTCCCAGGTTTGATTCTGGTCAAGGGCACAGGCCCACGTTGTGGGCTCAATCTCCAATAGGGGGTGTACAGGCAGCAGCTGATCAAAGATTCTCTCTCATCATTGATATTTTTATCTCTCTCTCTTTTCCTCTCTCTCTCTTCCTCTCTGAAATTATATATATATATATATATATATATATATATATATATATATATATATATAATTCCAGGGTAAAATTTAGTTCTGATGTAGGCTTGCGCTGAATTTACCAAAAGTATAAAGAAGTTCTTTATAGGACAATTTCTCACTAGGGAACCAATCCTAGTCTGGGCTCAGAAGGAAACAGATTTTTCAGAGAAGAGTTTAATTCTATGTCTATCTGTTGGATCTATACAAAAGCAAGGGAGAAAAGCTGTGCATCCTCTTTTGTGTGTGTGTTTATTTCAGGAGCATTAACATATTCAGAGGTGCTTTAAGCTCTCTCCCAAACTTGATCCTCTAAACCGGCAAAGAGATTTCCTCTCATCCACACTTGAAGAGACTCCCATCTCTTGAAGGGGAGTTAGATACCAGCTCAGTCAGCCAATGGGAAGGAAGGTGTCTCTTCCATAGCAATAATCTAATTTTGCTCTCAGGCCCAAAGAATTCCTTTGAAATGCACATAAAAGCATTGTCTAATCTCTAGGAGAGACAAGAGCCAAAGCATGATGACAAAACCAAACGGTTCTACAAATAGCCTCTCAGTGGCCTTCGGGTGAAAAAAATGCTAAACACTTCCACAGTGAACAGATCAGTTCGCACGTGTCTATCAGTGACACCTGCAGTGCAGGGGTTGCTTTTAGCAGGTTTTTCATAGCAAAGTCCTATCCAGAAGCAACCATCCTAAAGAGCCACAATAACGTGATCACACAGTGGAAAAGGCTATCGGTACCGGTTACTCTAAAGGTCTTCCAGATGGAGATGGGTTCTTCCACACTGGGTGGCAGAAACTGTGAGCCTTCCAGGAAGGATGGGATGAATACAGGAAATGAATCCTGGCCCCGAGGGGGGGAGGGGTGCGCGCGCGGCTCAGGTGATGGATAACATAGAAGCCCTTCGCCCTTCTTCCTTGAAGATATCCTCCCTGTAGCTCCCTGAGATCTCTCCAACTGGCCAGCAACAGAAGAGAGCTTCTTAGGTCTTCACCACAAAATGGGCAATAGTAAGACCCGATGTCTAAGTGAGAGAATAGACACAGCTCTAGAACTTGGCCCAGACCTCAATCCCAAATTCCCTGCCACCCATCTCCTTTCCAGAAAAGCCTAAGAACCAGAAATGGGGAATGAGGAGTTATTAATGGGTACAGAGTTTGTTTGGAAAAGTTCTGGGGATGGATAGCGGGATGGCTGCACAACCATGAACATTGAAAACAAGGAATGTTTCTGACAGTGTTAAAAATCAAGACGCCTGGTTACACATCACACTCAGAACAACAAACTATAATTGCATACTTTTAGTGCTAGAAAATGCTACCAAGGAGATGCAGTCAAAGGCCAAATTAACCTTCTCCCTCCTTTTTTTCTCCTCAAAATCAGAATGCACATGAATAAGCAAAATATGTCCATGAGAAACGGCTATAAATCTCAATCAGACACGAATGCCTCGGAACCTCTATTCTTCCCATTTCAACAGTGGCCATATAAATAAAAAAAAAATTTTTTTTTGCAAGACTGTAATGGTATCTTTCTTTAGGAGTCAGGTAGAAAAATGAGAATAAAACAAAGATCGAGTGAAAGTTGCCTGAACAGTATACGGTTTTAACACTGAAGCTTCTATTCTAAAGCTTCCGGTCTTCTCTTATAGGATAACCTATGTTAGATGGTTAGAAAAAATTTAGGAAGTTTTTTATAAAAGCCTCGAATATCCTTTTATTATCACCTCACTAAAATACAGATGTCAACCAAATTCATGAACGCAAGTGATGCCAGGAAATAGAAAATACAAGGGCCTGTTTCTACCTGTCACAGCCTGCTGGCGAATGGCAACAGTGGTCCTCCCGGGATGATTTCATCTCTGCTCCCTATTTTGGATAAGCTGTGTTAAATATTACAAACTCCACATCCTACTTATTCTTAAGTTCACACTAAGTAGCCCACAAAATGTTTGCCTTAAACGAATTCTACTTTTGTATTTCACTGGGAAGTGTGTGTGTGGGAGGGGGGAGTACAGCAGAAAAAAGGAGGAAGAGCCTTTGAACTAAAAAAACAAATAAAGAATAATTTAAAAAAATAAAAAATAAAAACAGCCAAAACTGGTTTGGCTCAGTGGACAGAGCATCAGCCTGTGGACTGAAAGGTCCCAGGTTCGATTCCGGTCAAGGGCATGTACCTTGGTTGTGGGCACATCCCCAGAACGGGGTGTGCAAGAGGCAGATGATGATCGATTCGATAATTCTCTCTCATTGATGTTTCTAACTCTCTATCCCTCTCTCTTCCTCTCTGTAAAAAATCAATAAAAAATACTTTAAAAAAAAAAAAAGAAAAAAACCCCAAACCTTCTTGAATGTTTGGTGTGGTGTCTTTTACAAACTATTACTGTTAATGTTGTTTTAATATTTAAAACAAATCATTTTTTTAACTTTTAGTATTTATTAACACATTACACACCTATTTGAACACAACTAATGGCATGTAATTTGAACCATGGATTGTGAATGACTTTTATTCCCACCCCCCTCCCCAAATGGACATTTCACTGCATATCCCCATATTTTAGTGCAAAAGACCTAGTTCTGGCTGCCAAAAATGTTTATGCATTCATTACAGATTCAACATAAAAGGGGAAAGAAATTTCACATTTGGTATTAATCCTCCTCTATCTGAAAATACTGCATCCGGCACTCCCTCCCAGGCAGAGGCCTCAGGCTCTGCAGCTGTTTCTGGAAACGCCGGTGTAACATAGCTCACCTTCCCCTGAGCAGATGAGCTAGGGAACCACAGTCTTCCAGACTACACCGCTGCCATCTTTACCAGGTATTTTTAATCTCCGAAGACTGTTAGCTACAAGCTCATCAGCAAATGTTTTGAGCGAACTGCTCTATCGACGTCGTTTTTTTTCCTGGAGAGAACAGCAGGCAGGGGAGGCGAGCGGGGAGAGGAGATAATTTACCTGCATCAGTTTTCTGGAGAGCTCATTAGTGAGAAACTCTTCTTCCTTCTCATAATTCACAGCGAGGGTTTCCTTCTCCTTCTGCAGAGCCTGAATTTTCTTGAATAATGTGTTACTGATGAATTCCTCTTCCTGCTCAGCCCTGGCTTGCTGTTTAAAAAAAACACACAAAAAACACACACAAGTTAAGGAAACAGTAAATTTACTAATTAAAATACAGTTCTTATTTCCAGTGAGAACACCCATTTTTATTAGAGCCCTATTTTTAACTGTGAACCAACACACCCCAAAAAGCACGCATCAGAGGAACTCAGCAGCAAGCCCCCTATTACCCCCAAGGGCCTCCCTGGCCTATGCATGGTCTCCCTTCTTAAAGGGATATTTCACAGTCATTAACAAAGACTGCTTTGCAGTTTTTCAAAGCAATCTCAAGTCTATCACCTGAATACGGAAAGCGCCTTCTCACATGGCAGATGAGCCCAATTCTGGGTACGCGCATCGATCCATAACTATTCGCAAGTCACTACATCTCACAAGTTCATACAGCAGGTCCTCACATCCTGTCATTTTGGTCCAGATCGGTTCATCATCAGGTTGATGAGAGTGTAGGAACTTAGCCCTTTGTTTATATCAAATAACCTGTCTGAAAGCAGTTCCAAGAACCTATCCACAAGGTTAAGTGAGAACTTACTGTAATTACAATATCCAGGCAACATTTTTTTTTTAACTGCAGCAGAGAATTTCAGCTCAGTTTAAAAAGTAAAACTATGTCACCTCTTTAGGGTGTTACTGAAAGGGCTTGGGTGTGTCATTTACAAAGCACTACAGAGCCCTAACCGTTTGGCTCAGTGGATAGAGCATTGGCTTGCGGACTGAAAAGTCCCAGGTTTGATTCCATGTACGTTGGTTTCAGGCACATCCCCAATAGGGGGCATACAGGAGGCAGCTGATTGATGTTCCTCTCTCATAGATGTTTCTAACTCTATCCCTCTCCCTTCCTCTTTGTAAAAATAAATAAATATATATATATAAATAAAATTTTAAAAAGCACTACAGATACACATGGATTCATTTACATGTTCATTGAGTAGTAACTGTAAGGAAATAAACCAAATGGCTGAAAAGTAGTTATTGCAAAGTAGTGGGGATCCAGGAGGTGCAGAGTAAGGGTGGATAAAAGGAGTTTCTTTTTTTAAATCTATTTTCCTACTGGGATTGCTTTTGGAGATAAGGGCAAGAAAGGCCAGGCATTACTGCATTTTAAAAAGAGATTAAAACAGTTCCAGGCATAAGTCAATGGGGTTGAAAATATTCTTTTGTAAACCCCTCACCCCCGATCTATGCTTGAACAGAATCAACAGAAAAACCAACCACCCTTGAAGGAAATTAATGTTTTTCAGAAAAGAAAAATACTTGTTTCGGATGGACTCAGCTGTATTGCAAAGCACTTTTTAAACGGCAACATTTTGATGCATTCATCCCTAATGATGCATTCCTGCTTCATCTGCCAAGTCAAGGGAAGGGAAGCTACACTGACTCCAAGCCTGGTCCAGCATCTGTCACTTAAAATAACAGGAGAGCCAAGGGCAGGGCACCAAAGGGCACCTGCATTAAGCCAACTACCACCTCTTATTGTCAAAGGTCGGACAACCACTCCCGACTCCAGGGGTTTAGATTTCTGTCCCTCTTTACCCGCTTCCCCCAAACCCACGCTTTAACAGGCCTGGTATCTGGGAGTCCATCCCTCCTGCTCCCCATCAAGGCGGCCCTGCGGAGGGACCCCAGGCTCTGGAACTGCCTGCCACGCAATTCTCCAACAGAGAGCCACAGGCGGCCCTGAGGCTGAAAAACACAGCTACGTCAAAAGTGGAGACTTTGGGAGAAGCTCCAGCACTCCCGCTTCTCTAAGAAACCATGTGGGATGATAATCCAGGAGAGTTAGTTGAGCAATTAGGAACACATCACAGCTAATAAATCTTTATTCCCAGCCGGGTGCACCCGCTGAGCAGTCTCCTGGGTCCCCAGGGGTTCCCTTACACACGTCATACTTCATCAGCACTTCTCAATGTCTATCCTTTCCACTCGAGCCCAGGAAGATGACTGAGGATTGGCACCCCCCAATTCAAATGAATCCCCAGCCATTTTCAAAACTCATATAGTACTTCAAGGTCTTGTTCACGTGCAACGGGCAGGAAGCCAGAGAATGTATCCAGGGCGTATTTGACACATGTGGCCAAGTCCATAATCCGTTCAAGCTACCTGTTTCTTCTGGTTTTCACTGACCAAGTCCTCCTATAGGATTTGAATTCTCAATATTTCTCAAGGTACAGAACAAAAAGCGTAGAGAGGAACTTGAATGCTTTTTTTTTTTTTTTTGGTGATTTGCACTTAGAATTCAAAAGGGTGTTTCCCATAAATTCATTTCATGATCAAGTCGGTCTTAATGTAAGTTGCCACCGGACGTTCACTATTTTAAGCACATTCAATCACAAGCCATACAGAAGAGAACCAGGCGCACAGGCTCGGCTGACCATGTTCCCCTTGCACAGTGGCTTAGAAGGGAGGGGTTGAAATGAAGAGGCTTAGGCCCTAAAGAGCCTGTTCACGGAGCTTCCACCCACTTCCCATGTCATCGAACCATGAAGTCACGGGGACAACAGGTTTCAGTGTAATAGAAAGCAGAGCATTTGATAGAAAGTAGATTAGTGGTGGCCAGGGTAGGGGGCGGAGGGAAAGGAAGAGGACTGCTAGCGATACAAGGTTTCTTCTCGGGGTGATGGCAATTCCTGGAATTAGTGCTGAGTTTATACAACCTTGTGAATACACGAAAAACCACCAAAGTGTACACTTTAAAAGGGTGAGTTTTATGGTATGTGAGTAATATCTCCATTAAGAAAAAGAACTCTTGCTGAAACCAGTTTGGCTCAGTGAATAGAGCATCGGCCTGCGGACTGAAAAGTCTCGGGTTCGATTCCGGTTGAGGGCATGTACCTTGGTTGAGGCACATCCCCAGCAGGGGGTGTGCAAGAGGCAGCTGATTGATGATTCTCTCTCATCGATGTTTCTAATTCTCTATCCCTTTTTCTTCCTCTCTGTAAAAAATCAATAATATATATATAATTATATATATTATATATATCATATATATGATATAAAATCACATATATAAAATCATAAAATTATATATATAATCAATTTTATATATAATATATAAAATATATAATATAATATATATATATATATATATATATATATATATATATATATACAACACATGTTTTTTTTTTAAAGGAAAAGAACTCTGATGAACAGGCCCAATATTTCACAAAACACCTGGTTTCCTCTGCCATTCTTCCCAGTGTTAAAAAGAAACAAAAGCCCCAAATGGAGTTCTAGCAGTAAGCCCCCAGGAGACCTAAATCAGGAATGGAATTTTAAAACAATCAATCTAGACTTTTCCTGGGCTGGGCTGGTGAGGTAATCTGTAATCTGGCTGATAAAACCCTCTGCCCTCAGGAAGATGACTCTGCCTGAAATAATCCACTCTTTTAACTTCCCCGCCCCACCCTCGTCCTGCCCAGAAAAACCTTCAGCTTCATCCCACGGCTCAGAGCCCCCCTCCCTTTACCAGAGGAGTGCTGGCCCAGTTCATGAATCGTTCAATGAACCGATCAGATCTTCACGTTGACTTGATTTTTTTTTTTTTCTTTAACCCCAGGAAAAGCAGCGAATTTTTTTTAATTGGGGGCAGGGGCATGAAGGGGGCTAGATCTGTTCTAAAAGTACTTTCAAAGTAAGTGACATGTCACCAGGCGTGAGAGACGGAGGCCTTGGCAAACAAAAATCATTCTCCACTTCCGAACAGGCACGTATTTCTAGGCAAAGCTCATTAATAAAAAACGCCTTGCTCCGGGCCCATGAATAACGTGAGGAAGCTGGTTAAACCAATCTCACGGAGGCGGCGAACGGAGCCAGACCGAGGTTATCAGAGGTTTATCAAAGGGCTGGTATTCTGCCTCCCACAGCATCTGAGCACCCAGAGAAGAACCCACCCTGGGGAGGACAGGATTCGGGTTCCTAGCAGTTCACCCCATTTCCAATGGGTCTCAGATCATTTTGGGAATTAACATGTAAATGCTGCCCCCCAAAAAAACAAGCCTCTGTATCTAATTATAGCCTCAGAGGACACAGGTTTAAAAGAACAGATAAGGTGTACTAACAACCAGGAATAAAAGTTAATTATCAGAGTATGAGTCATGCCGTAGAGAAAAGCAGTAAGTATCCACTTTTTTTTTTTTTTAATCCTCACCTCTACACCATACTCTAAATGAGGATATTTTTCATTGTTTTTTTAGAGAGAGTGGAAGGGAGGGAGGAGAAGAGAAACACTAATGTGAGAGAGACAAGTCGACTGGTGGCTTCCTGCACTCGCTGTGTCATCCCTCAGGGGATGGAGCCTGCAACCCAAGTACATGCCCTTGACCGGAAATCGAACCCGAAACCCTTTGGTCCATGGGCTGTCATCACTCCAACCACTGAGCAAAGCCGGGCAGAGTGTAAGAAGTATCCACTTTGATCTTGAGCTTAGTCCTGGCTTTTTCTTCCCTAACTCCAAACAGGCATTTTAATTTAAAACTTAAATAAATTACCTTTACAATTTACCCCTCCCCACCCCCGCCATCCCCCCCCCCCACCCCAAGAAGCCAAGAGCCAGAAGCAAAGAAGCAAACCACAGGCACCATTTGCAACAGGTGCCCTAAACTGGCTATACCAGTGGTCGGCAAACTCATTAGTCAACAGAGCCAAATATCAATAGTACAAGGATTGAAATTTCTTTTGAGAGCCAAATTTTTTAAACTTAAACTTCTTTTAACGTCACTTCTTCAAAGTGGAACGAAGAACAGAAACACCAAACAGGCCGTGGTATTTTGTGGAAGAACCACACTCCAGGGGCCAAAGAGCCACCAAGTGGCTCGTGAGCCACGGTTTGCCGACCACTGGGCTATACTATATGAAATTTCATTAATTGTATCCATATATTTTCCTTTTTACCTGACATGCTTTAAAAATCTCAGCATACCTAAACACATCCAAATTCAAAAATAAAATTCTATTTCAATAACTCAATAAATAAAATTGTCTTTCAAGAT